ATATATATATATATATAAAGCCTTGATGTTCAAAGTAGCTAACTATAGCTCAGTGTAGTGGGAGAGTCCAGTATTTGCTCTGAAATGCCTATAAGTAACCTATACCTTGACACCAAACTAATTCCCCAAGGTATACACAAATTATTACAAAATCTGATTTTTAAATTATCATCTTGTGTAAATAAAGAAATCCTCAGCCACCAGCTTGAATTTTTCTGTCTTCATCCTTCTCGTGATGAACGTCAGCAGCCATTGTCATCCTCAGTGAAAGGAATATTTAGATCAAACAGCGCTTCACAAAAACAGCTCCTCCATTTGCATGAAGCAACATCACGCTGTTTTTCGATGGTAAACACACAAAAGCACACACTGTCAAGTAGAACACAGAGAGTAAACAAATCCATTGCATCTCATGGTCTTTTCATTCATCTGCCCTCTCCTCATCCACTTATTCTCCTCTTATCCTCCACTTATCCCCATGTCAGGTCTATAATCTGCTACTGAAAACAGATCGTGGGCATAAAAAACATCCATAAGGAGAGTAATAAAGAGGGGTTATAAAAAAGATGAGGCCCCTAGATATTTCCAGTAATGATGAAACAGGGTACACCATAATGTAATCAGTTTTCTAGGATGTTCCTGCAGGCTTACACATTAAAAATAGCTATCCATCACCAAATGGAGTGATCTAAATGAAAAGAATGAGTGGTACAGTATACCTGCTGCAATAAAGAAGTCAAATAAAACAAATAAAATCAAGTTTAAGTGACTTTATTTGTTATGTGCAGTGTAGTATGCAAGCACGGTGGAGTTTCTGCACTGTTTTATCTGTCATTTAAATCAGGAAAAGGCCAATAAAAATGACACAAATGTCCCAAATTAAGTTTAAAAAAAGAAAGAAAGAAAATGAAAGAAAAATACAAAAATAGAAGCACAATTTTATAAATCATATACAGTGCCTTTGGTGTGTATAGATGTAGCCTACTTAAGATGTGGCATGTATTGGCTCAGCCCTATTGTCTGTTTAATTTGGATAGATATTCATAAAGCTGTTTGGGGCACACTGTTTTGGAGTTTATACTAATTAAAGTAATGAAGATGATTATTATGATCAGAATAAGTAGGAGTGGCAGTAATAGCCGGCCATACTGAAAGTCTTAATAGTAATTAAAGTAGAAACAGAATGCCAACCAGGCGTAATACCAGTTATTAGAGTAAATAGATAGTAGCAGTGGCAGTAAGCTACTGTAGGTATGCAAGATAACCTTGTGCCTTTCACACTGTATTCTGTGAAATACTGCCCCTTACTGACAAGAAAACAACCCAACACCTATAAGCCTCATATTCAAAAAAGTCTTCTGTATTTGTTATCCAGTGGTGGTAGATAGAAGTAACTTTAATTAAAAGCCTTGCATTCAAAAGATTAATTAGGTGAAAGTACATAAGCAACATCAGCAAACTGCAGTTAAAGTGGCAGAATGAGCCAGTCAGTGTTGTATTATTATATATATGAGTCTATATGTTTGACTCAGACTGATGTTAATAATGTGTAAGCAGCATTGTTAATGTTGTAGTTAGTTGAGGTCCAGCTAATTTACTTTATATACTGCTGTTGGGTAGATTAACATTTTATTAACTCATCATAGCTTTTATAGCCTTTGTAAAGTCCTAATCTGAAAAAAGTAATGTAAACCTGCAGCTGTCAAATAAAGTGGGCAAAAACAAAACACTGAAATATATAGTGGAGTAACCGATAGTAGCAGAAAATGAAGATAGTCAAGTACATGTCAAAATTGTACTGCACTACTCTTTAAAACAGTATAACCTACTTTCACTTTTGACTGAAATGTCTACTTTAAAATGTTAAATATGGAACCTTTTGTTTAGTTATACAGGGTTTCCCACGGCGCTATCGCGACTTCTACTTGTGGAAAGCATTTTAAAAAAAACAGTCCCTCCCCATAATCACTAAATCTACAACATAAAGTCGTGTTCAGCCACTGTTTGATTAAATCCCACTTCTGCTGACTACATTTCCCGTCAGCACTCTGTTGTGCGAAAACGACGAGCGACCGACAACCGGCGTTCGTCCAATCACAGCGCGGAACGCAACGCCCTCGCTCGCTGATTGGCTATATTTGCACCGATCTTCCCACGATGCTTTGCGGCACCCGTCTTAGAATTCAAATCTAGCGGACCAATCAGAGAGCGCCATAACGACCGAGCAGCATTTTAAACTTGTAGCAGAGACTGTTGTTAAAAGGCAGAACAGGAGCAACGCTGCAGCCACCGAGGGACGAGTCTGCCGGCTTATTCATGACTGTTTTCTTTTTTTAATAGTAATATTCGCATGCTGTAACGCTTTTTTTAATCGTTTGAGTACATATTTGAGTACTTTTCGCGTTCAAAAGGTTAGTTAACGCTAGTTTTGATTTGAATTCACAAGTGTATGGCAAGGTAGCTTCCAGTTAAACTAACGTCGGTTGAAGTAGGGTTGATAATAGTTTGGACCCTTGCAACCATCGTCGATACCTCCACTGCTGGAGAGTTGTTTTTAAAAAAAAACGTGTTTCTTTTAAAGACGCCGAAGAGCACTTTGATCCGAAAATCCGACACAGAAAATGAGTGCAGGTATCGCGAAGCCGGCGGTTCCGTCGGCACATGTCGACCCGAAATCGGCTCCCCTCAAAGAGATCCCTGATGTTCTGGTGGACCCACGCACCATGAGGAGATACGCCAGGGGACGGTTCCTCGGAAAAGGTGGTTTCGCCAAATGCTACGAGATCACAGACATGGAGACGAAGCAGGTTTTCGCCGGAAAAATCGTCCCGAAGTCGCTGATCCTGAAGCAGCACCAGAGGGAGAAGATGACCTCGGAAATCGCCATCCACAAGAGCCTCGACCACGCCAACGTCGTCGGCTTTCACGGGTTTTTCGAAGACGACGATTTTGTCTTCGTTGTCCTGGAAATCTGCAGGAGAAGGGTGAGTGTGCTTTTGGAGGGAGGGAGGGAGGGAGGGAGGAGAGGGGAGACGTGCAAGCTTTCTCCCCCGTGAACTCACTCAGGGCCAACGGTTGTCACGGCGGTCTCTTCCGTTGTCCTGCCAGTCCCAGTGGAGTCTGCTTCAAGTGCATGGAAAAGTCCAATAATCTGTGAACATGGTCGCTTAAAATGATACTTTTTTTAAAAGTGCAAGTTTGATTCAGTAGTTATTAGACCGAAAAACGTCTGAAATGTGCTGGAAACCTCCCAAATACTCACTTTCTGGGTTTTAACTGAACTATTATCACCATACACCTCTTAATGTTGCAGAAATCACTGAGTTGCAGACTTCAGTGTCTCATTATAGTCTTATTTTTTTGTCTTGAATCCAACCAACTCTCCCTTTCTTCTGTCTTCAGTCTTTGTTGGAGCTGCACAAGCGTCGTAAAGCTGTGACTGAGCCAGAGGCCCGCTACTACATGACACAGCTGCTCAAGGGTGTCCAGTACCTGCACAACAACAGAGTCATCCACAGAGACCTGAAACTGGGCAACATCTTCCTCAATGATGACATGGAGGTCAAGATAGGTAAATGTTAGACTGCAGATGATTTTAATTTTGACTGCAGTTCTCTGATCATACTGGAGTCAGGCGTAATAAACACCAGTTACACCTGTAAGGCACACCCAGAGTACGATGTGTCATACTTCCTGGACGAGTGTTTTCCATTGGCTGGTGTGGAAATCTGCCATGAGGACAAAACACACAAGCTTTTAATCAGGGAAAACCTTTAAGGACGTTAATGTAGCCTGGAGCTTTACACAGAACACCTTTTTAGTCTGCTGCTTTACAAACGCTTGCTCTGTCTGTGTTTCCCCCCAGGCGACTTCGGTCTGGCCACTAAGATCGAGTTTGATGGCGAGAGGAAGAAGACCTTGTGTGGAACGCCCAACTACATTGCACCTGAAGTGCTTTGCAAGAAGGGCCACAGCTATGAGGTGGACGTCTGGTCACTTGGATGTATATTGTAAGTCTGAACACCTGGGATGTAGATTTCATTCTTAAAATGCAGGAAAAAAACCAGCACTATTCCACCGTTCAGCCCGCTCAGCTCCACCTCCCTGTCTGTGTTCTCTCAGGTACACTTTGTTGGTGGGTAAGCCCCCATTCGAGACCTCCTGTCTGAAGGAGACGTACAACCGCATCAAGAAAAACAACTACACCGTCCCCTGGGTAAGCTGGACAAGTTTTTAAAAAATATATAGCATCTGTATATTTTGTTTTCCACATTTAATTTCCTCCTTTATGTAACCTGAATTTACAACGACTGTCTGCAGCACATCAACCCGCTCGCGGCCTCTCTCATCAAGCGGATGCTGCACGCTGACCCCGCCCAACGGCCTACCATCGGCGAGCTGCAGGCCGATGAGTTCTTCACATCCGGCTACATCCCGACGCGTCTGCCCACTACGTGCCTCACTGTGCCCCCGCGGTTCTCCATCGCCCCCTCCACAGCTATGGAGCAGAGACGCCCATTGACTGCTATCAACAACAAGGGTAATGATCCCGACTGACAACTTAACAAAGAGGCCTTTAGTCAACAGACTGTTAAAGTGACACTGAAATATTTTGGTTTCACAGGATATAAGCAGGCCATTTGAGTGTATCCAGATAATGTTGCAGTCTGCAGGAGTTAATGTTAATGTCGTGATATTTCTTTCCAGGAGGGACAGAGAAGGTGGACATGAAAGACGAGCCTGTGCAGAGGTGAGAAATGTTTGTTGGGCTGTTATTAATTGTAGGAAATTTAAATTCCAAGTGTAAAACCGTCACCACCACTTTAAGACAATGGTTTTCCATCTACGTTAGTATTTGTAACTTATCCATGTCATGCTCCACGTGGAAATGGAGTGGTGGTTTTAGGGGGATTAAACTTAACCACTCATTTTCAACCCTTGTTTAATTGTTGTCTTGTTGTGTTCTGTGCAGGGAGCCTGAGCCATCAGAAAACCACCTGAAAGATATGCTGCAGCAGCTCAACAGTATCATTGCTGCCAAGCCCTCAGAGAAGGCTGTCATCTGCCAAGGTGAGTGCAGACTCTGGTAAATGCTTTTAGTTTCAATGTTGCACATTTTAGAGGTTTGGATAATCTTTGTGACTGCACATACAATAATTAGTTCTGTTTTTGTATTTGCAGAGGAGGCAGAGGATCCTGCATGTATTCCCATCTTCTGGATCAGCAAATGGGTGGACTACTCTGACAAATATGGATTAGGTGAGAATTAGACTGAATCTTTAACTCTATTCAATTCAGTTTTATGTGTATCACACTTAATCAAATCAAGTGTTAGCCCAGGACACTTTTCAAATGGAGACTGCACTCCTCCAAAAAACATAAAAATTATTTAGTTTCCACCATGAACAAGCACTTGGCGACAGCAGCAAGGAAAAACGTCCTTTTTAACAGGCAGAAACCTTGAGCAGCCGTCCAGCTGGGGTTAGGAGAGAGGTGGGACGGTGAAAGAGTTTAGGTGTATGTAGGTGACAGATAAAGGTCGGCCTCAATGTGAAAAAAAACAGCGAGTCGACTGTACTAAAACAATACTTGAGCTGCGACTTTAAGGCTACGTACACAAATGTTTGTGGGCGCAACAGTTGTAGTTTCATGTGGATCCATCAGATGTTGCACTTGAAACACATCCAATTATTGGCCAAAGTCAATCAAAAGACCTTTTTCACAGCAGACATTTTGACTTGGAATAGCAGATGGAAAAGCACGTGTGTAACTGGTGACATTAAAGTCGCTCTGTTCTGTTATAGGTGTCCAAGTAATCAGATGTATGCAGCTACCATTAATGTTCTAACATCTGCGCTTGTTCTGCTGTGACGTGTCAAAATGTCCGCCAGGAACAAGAAACCGCTGCAGTGAAATGCCAGAGGAACGTTTGCGTTGGTTAAGAATGGTGGTGCAATTACATACTCTGTCCACCAGAGAGAGCCGACAAGTTTAAGATTTGAAAAGTGCCCCTCTCAGTACATGACCGTCTTGGTTAAAGGACAACAAATTTACCTTAAGAGATCCTTTTTATTAAGTTTTTACTGTCTTTCAGGCTACCAGCTCTGTGACAACAGCGTCGGTGTGCTGTTCAACGATTACACACGCCTGATTATGTACGCTGACGGAGACAGTCTTCAGTACATCGACAAGACGGCGGCTGAATCCTACCTCAGCGTGCGATCTTTCCCCACTACTCTCAACAAGAAGGTCAGTGGTTGACTCTACATTTACTTCTTGAGCCGTCAACTCAAATTTAGAAGATTAGTTTGAGCTTTTGTAGGGAGAATGCTTCTAACCACTTAATCTCTCAGCTTTTTTATATTTCTTCGTGTCATGGTATGGCTTCTTATGTGCTTGTTCTCTTTTCCTCTCGCAGATAACGTTGCTGAAGTACTTCCGCAACTACATGAGCGAGCACCTGCTGAAGGCCGGCGCCAACATTGCACGGCGGGAAGGAGACGAGCTGGCCCGGCTGCCTTACCTCTCCCTCTGGTTCAGAACCAAGAGCGCCATCGTCCTGCACCTCACCAACGGCACCGTGCAGATCAACTTCTTCCAGGTTGGACACGTCTCCGCCTCACCACCAGGCTCTTTTTAATTGTCGTCCTTTAGCTGCTGCTCTCATGACACCCTGTGCACAAATCCTGAACCTATGTTTTCCCTGTTCACCAGGACCACACCAAGCTGATCCTGTGTCCGCTGATGGGCGCAGTGACCTACATCGACGAGAAGCGAGACTTCCGCACCTACAAGCTGTCTCTGCTGGAGGAGTTCGGTTGCAGTAAGGAGCTGGCCAGCCGCATCCGCTACGCCAAGCTCATGGTGGAGAAACTGCTGGACAGCAAGCCTTCCCCTGCTGCACATTAGACCCCCCCATACACCACTTCTTTAATCACTCTGTCTTTAATCACTGGCCACTTATTCCTGTCTGCCAGCCTCTGGGGTCCAGACAGACCCTTAAATTCCTCCTATATTTTATTGAAGGGTTGCAGTGTGATGAATTTTATGTCACCTTTTCGAGGCTTTGAGATGTACCATGAAAATCAATCACCTATGTTGTACATGAATGGTGAATTTCAGCCTCTCAGCCACTGATTTTATCTCTTTTCCTGCTGTTAATAGAAACTCTATCTTTAACTTTCTTGATGAAGCTTACTCGTGACAAACGCGCTCCTGCTGAAGTAATCTAAGATGGCTGAATCGCTTGACTGTGCAGCAGGCGAGTCGACTCTGTACAATGAAATGAGTCTAGGAGGAAAAGATGAATGTTAAGGGTTCTACGTGTTCAAATTCATTATGTTGAAGTTGAAACATTCCTCCAAGATTCTCTCTGCTTGTTTGTATTTACCTGAAGCTGAGGGGACGACTGTGTGGTGGGGGTGAACACTCGAGACTGGCTGTATGGATGGGAAAAAAGCTTCTCTGGTCTGCTTCTCTAGTTTGTCTATTTTTATCTGTGTTGTATGTAGAGAAATGGACCATGTTAATATGTCTTCATCATGTACATTCTTCCTGTAGTTACTTTTTACACTTTTTAAGTATTTTAGATGTCTTGTCTTTTTCAACAAGATGTACAAACTTGTACATACTGCTCAATATGCAAACATGTTGTAAAGATGGTTTAATTTTACTCAAGTTAAAATAAAGATTCTCTTAAGACAAATTACAGTGGTTTCATATTAATGTCATATTGGTGCTCATAAAAAAAAGACCTGTGTTTGATTATCCGTCTGGGTAACAGTGCTGGACAAATGTCTTGAAATGTATACAGTCTATCCAGATTAGCGCCATGTGGATTTTTGTTTCATGCTGACCTTAAATCCCGCAGTGCACCTGACCCTAATAATGGTGGAACTGATGTTGATTTTGCACACTTTCAAAGGGTTGGTTCACTCAAATTACAAAAGGGTTTTCACTGACCTCCACTGATATGTAATACACATAGTGTTGAGGTAAAACTGTCAAATACCATCATTTGGAGGGACTGACTATAAAAACAGAATCTAGAAAGGCAGTATTTTATTTTAGAAGATAGATCATCTTTCTTGCATATTGGCTTTCAAATACCCGACCATTTTATACCTCAGTTTGATTGAGGAGCATTAGAGGGAATTTTACAAAAACATATTTTAGTAAGAGAAGATTTCTTGGTGTGAAATAACTTATAAAAGTGCCAGGATTAATTTAACATCTCATGCTGTCTTTGATGATGTCAACTGGCAGGAAACTAAGGGGAAAGTCAAAGCTCTTACCCAGGAAGAATAAATCTGAAGATTTTGGCGCCTCCTGGTGGACACAAATAGTAATGACAGTTTAATTTACAGTATTTTACAATAAGTTATATATATTTCTCAGTTCTCTGTTCAATCTTTATTCTGGTATTTCTTAACATCCAAAATGCAGTAATGCAACCTAAACCATCAGGCATGTCTCAGGATAAACTGATTTTAACAAAACAAATCAAAATTAGTAATAAATATATGACCTAAATTATAATCCAATTAAACATCATTAGAACTTGTCACTTTTGGTATTGAAGATTTTCTTCTTTTGCATAAACCATTATTCAAAGACAACAGACTGCGTAATGACAAGTGAATTCAGTACTGATAATAGTAGTTAGATACTATATACTGTATGTGGTAATGCTCTTATTTATTTGGAATAAAAAAAAAAACTGGCAGAATAAATATTTGTTCTTCTTTGATCAAACTTGTAATCTTTGCCTCACACACCAGTCTTATGCAGACGTACACAATGCATTCACGCTTCGTATTTACGGGTTAGAGATACTGCAACAGAGCAAGAGTACATTTACTTTTATAGAATTATCTGCGAATGGATTGTTTTCTAACCGTTCACCTTCTTAAATGGAAATATAGTGCGTCTAAGATGGTTTTGGTCCATCTTAGCAATATAAAAGTAGACAAAAAACAACAACAAACAAACAAATTCACAAATGTTTAATGTAAACTGTAAAAACAAACATTGGCAACACTTCTTTTTCTTTAAATATAACAAATATAAAGAATATATTCAAGTAAGCACAGTAAGGAACAGTCAAAACAACAGCAGTAATAAAACACAAAGTTGGTTTTCAGGCTACAGTGGCCTAAAAAGTGGAAATCAGCATCGAGTGGACATTGTTACACAACGATGTTTCAGTTTGTGATACTGGCGCTCTAAAAATATGAGTGTGGGCACTTTCAAAGGCTGGAGGATAAAATTTAGAAGCACTCCACCTTTAACGGTTCAGTCTTGTTGAGAAGTTTACAGTATAGATCGGTGTGCTGGAAGTTACAGAGACAGTCTATGCAATGCCTTCTGCATCAGGTTGAGTGAACAAATGTGACATTCAAGTATATTTAAAAGGCGCCTCTCAACTGAAGCCATGTTAAAATCTTCGTGTAAATATTAATACAGTGAAAGAAAGACTTTTTTATTTGATAAAAGCAATCAAAGAGTCTTGAGCTAGTGGCGGAGTGGAGTCTGACTCGTACTGTAGCAGTGTAAAGTAAGGTCTCCGTTGTGATGTCCAGTCACCAGCGTACCTCCTCCGCCCCATCGAGCCAGCTGCCAGCCTTCGCTCTCGGGAGCCCACACCATCCTCGAGGCCCCCTGACGCCCGAGCTCCCACACACACACACAGCCGCTCTGACTCAGGCCCACCACGCTGGAGCTGTTAACGTCAGCTTCACACAGCCTGCAGAACACAGAGGCAGATGTGTTAGCGACATGACAAACACATACATGCTCCGTCGTCCATCAGCCCTCAACTCACCTGCCAGACCAGGCTTTGGGCGGATACAGCTGAGTGGCCTTGACAGATTTTCCACTCAGAGGGTTAACGGCGACCAAAGACAACAGAGCGGTCTTCTTCCTTTCCTCTTCCTCCTCCTCCACAAACATTTGATCTTTTGACGTGGCCTCCCTTTCTTCTTCTTCCAGGGAGCTGAGCAACTGATGCTGCAGCAGGACAAATAACACTCCCTGTGCACACACAGAAAAACACACAGGGTTAAAATCATCTGAGACAGTTGTGGCGGACAAGGACATTTTATGAGATCAGGCATTGACCTTTCGTACAAAGCAGACAGACTTACACAGTAGGAGTATCCTCTGAGACAGGCCGTGTGTGATAAATCATCTCGGAGGATGATCCTCCGCAGCAGCTGCCCAGTCTTTAAATTCCTGTAAGACACAAACACAGAAGATACATTCAACTGTAAACAGCAGCAGTGCATGTAGGGAGAGCCAAATATGGACATTATTCTAACATTTCTATAAAATCGTAGGAAAATGCTGAGCGCTTATGTTTAATATATTCAGCATTTAAAGGACCCGTGTGTAGGATTTAGTGTCACCTAGCAGAGCAGCTGCACACAGAAATTGAGAACAGCCCTATCTAGAGCCAGGTTTTGGTTTGTTCGTACTAGGCTACTGTAGAAACAGGGCGGTTCAACACGGAAGGCAACCCACTGCGTATGTAGATAAAAACGTCTCAATCTAAGGTAACAAAAACAACTTACAACAAACTTATTTTCAGGTGATTAAACATCTTCCTTAAATCTTCCTTAGTGTTACACACTGGACCTTGAAGAGTTAAGGGCAGCGTTTTATATTTGTGCATGAAGGTCAGTTAAAAGACCTCTCTTCTTAAAATCCTTACACACTTCAACATTAGTCCATGTTTGGGGTTCACTCTAAAAGGTTTCAACATGATCTAATATTTGAAGGACCTTTCGCTGTAAAGTAACCATTAGTAAGGCAATGACTTGAAAAATCTCTCTGTCACAATCTTGCTTACCAGACGAAGAGGCGTCCTCCCTCATCTGTGCCGATCAGAGCATCTGGAAGTCCGTCCACCGGAGCGAGGGCCCCGACACAAACGCCAGGGGACACGAGAGGCTGAGAGCTCAGTGTGCTAAGAGAGAGATGAGACACTGAGATATGTGTGCGATGACAAAATAACAGAGAGAAGAAAATCCAATGCTGACTCTGTGTTACCTGCCACTGTCTGACAGTGTAAACACCTGCAGGGTGGAGCCGGAAGCTGAGTGGGAGGACGTAACCACTCTGGACTTGGACACGCCCACGACAGCCTGGACAACCCCCTCACAGAGCAGCACTTGCAAAAGGCTGGAGCACGACAACATCCTGTGCACATACACACAGTTAACTTTCATTTCTACATTTCTAAACATTTGGAGACAGATCCCTTTAGTTTAGCACTAGGCTTAATTTTTGGACAGACAATTGGACAAAAATGTATAAATTACAGGTCAGGAAGTCTGATGGAGCGTGTTGTATTCACCTCACTTCTCTGATTTCTAACTGACCCAGAGTCACACACATCAGCCCAGCAGCATCCGGGACAGGAAACACACTGATCACCGGCTGTAAACACAGAAATTAATCAAAAATGAAACCGAATTATAGTAAGCTATATTAGAAAGTGTTAAATTGTATCCCTGAAACCATAAATACTGAGTCTGTTGGACAGATATTGTGATTCTGTGATATGATTCACAATTAAAGCTACACTGGGTAATTTTTACTGACAGTAGTACAAGTAGTATTAGTAGTAGTAGTAGATAATCTGTTAAACAGGGCATCTCTGCAGCTCTACAGTACTTCATTCATTAATGCTGTTTTGTCACATTTTACCTTCATTAAACTGCATATTGCACTTGGCCATATTGCCATTTTGATATTTCGATTAATTATGCAGCACTATTTACAATGATATTAACACAAATGCAGCAATTCCTCATATTTAAAAAAAGTTGGAACCGGCAAATGTGGCATTAAATGAAAAAAACAAACAAACAAAATCAATACTCTGAAATGCAGGCATGCTTTTAGACCCACACACTCACTTCATTGAAGGCCCAGGTGTGTATTAACTTCCAATCAGACGCTGAGGTCTGACTCCACAGACACACTGCCCATTTTCCTGCTGCTGCTACCCACAAACCACCTGTGGATCCGGGAAGACAGCATGCATCCACCAGACATCCTCCTGCTGGGGCCTGAAAACACCCAAACACACACACCCACACACACACCCACACACAGATACACACACAATTCAATTGATGACTTTAATTAAAACCTCTGCTTTGAATTCATTACTTATCTGTATGACGAGTTTTACCTTCAGTGTGTGTGTGCATCTCATCACGTGTTCCTCCACTGTCTCCTCTGTTCTCAGGCCCACCTGCCCGCCTGAGCCCTGTGACCGGATGCTAGAGACAGTCGGGCAGGTAGCAGGTTCAACCCTCTGACCGGCTGGAGGGGTGGGGGGCTGGCTAGGAGGGAGCAAAGTGAGGGATGGACAGGGAGAGAGAGCTGGTGGGGAGAGGGCCTGGGTGGACGGGCTATAAGGGGGAGGCAGGATGAGATCTGGGGTGGAGGGAGAGGACATCAGTGGGAGGGTGGCAGAGACAGGGTGGGGCGTAGTTCCCAGTGATGGCAGTGTGGGGCTGGAGGTGATAGCAGAGGAGCGCAGGTGTGGGGTTGTGAAGGGGCAGGGTCCTGATGCCGGAGGAGGGCTCAACAGGAGCTGGGAGTGGACACTGTGGTGCGGTAAACACTTGTCCTGACTTTTATTTTCTCTGGAAGGACTTGTGGTGGGTTCGGAGGATTCCTTGGACTCTTCAGGAGATTTCACACTCAGATGCTGCACAGGAGACTCTGGAGCTTCACTGTCATCACCCGCCTGTACTGCAGTGCAGCTGCCAACAGGCTCCTCGGGGCAGTCAAAGGAAAGCGTCTTGATGACGGCTTTGTCTTCCGTTTGGTGGTTTGCAAATCTCTGATCCTCCAAAGGATGGACTGCACCGGGACAATCTGTCTGTTCTTCTGATGAAAGGAGAGAAATCTCTTGGATTTCAAGCTCATCTGAGTGGTCGATGACGTAATCATTCACTTTGCCTGCAGGTCTGTCCGTGATGTGAGGCAGTGGTTTGACAGATCGGTCAATAGAGCTGTGTGTGTTGCTGTCTGAGACACAACTCTGGCTGTAAGTATTCAGAATCACATTACCTTTCTCTTTCCGTTGATCTGCACAGTCAGCAGCACTGACTCGTACCACTGACACAGAATCTGTTGAGGTGTCGTGAGTCTGACACTCTGGATGAAGGTTGTCAGTCTGCTGCTCTCCGGGGTTTTCATGGTCAGGTGACACTTCAGTTGAGGACTGGCTTGTCAATTTACCTGTAAGCTTGTGTTCTTTCGACAAGTTGTGGAGCTCTACAGACTGTGTAGCAGCTTGTTTTGCTTCAGTGGGATGGGGTGAATTCGCGATCGTGGGCGTGAGGCTGAGCGGGAGCGGAAGAGGCATCGCTGGGTCACTGCTGCTGTGGCAAGTCCCAGAGCGCTGCATGCTCCTGCGAGTGTTGTAAGAGGGCGATGTAAAATGTTCAACTCCTGATTCCACAGCGACTTGGCGAAGCTTGTGCAGCTTTAGGGAGGCAAACTGGTCATCGGGCAGATGGAAATCTTGTGGGATGTCAAAGTTCATCAGGTTGTTGACCAGCGGGCCGGGAGGCAGAGATGGTAGAGGAAGCAGAGAAGTTTGGGCAGGTGGAGTAGAAGGCAAGAGGAGAGACTGCCAGTGTGCTGCACCTGCAGGACACAAAGTGAAGGAATATTTCATTTTCATTGTTTTCTTAGTTTGAGAAAGCAGGAAGATGCTCATCAAAGCTCAGAAAGAGCCTTTTTCAAACGGCCGTTTATTCGGTTAAACTCTGCTACATTAGCCACTAGCCACACCACATTACTATGCATCATGAATTACTATGTGTGCATGTACAGATTGTTTGTATATGTTGTGTATACAACTGTGTAACCTTTAGATTATCTTGCTTAATTGAACAAAACGTTTTAATTGGACACTTTTTAATTATTCTTAGCGGGTTGTACAGCCGCAATGATAAACTGTGATTGTTTCTTCAATTCGAATACTTGTCAGTTTCTTTAGTCTTCTACAATAGTAAACTGAATATCATTGAGTTTTGGACAGTTTTTGGACTTTGGACATGTTTACTATATTACGACATTTTATTGACCAAACGAATAATCAGTAAATGGATAAAATAACTAATAATGAAAATAACTGTTAGATACAGCCATCGCAGCTTGGAACTTGGAATGAGGAGACCATGTTTTGTATATATATGTATATATACAAATATGTATATATATATATATATAATAAGCACAACAGTCTTGTTTGGGTGTTTAGTAGCTTTTGGACAACAGTGGAGTTCTAGGGAGCAGAGCCAGATGACATATCAAGTTGTGGTTACAGACAGACAATACTTAATGGTAGATAAATGAGTCTCTTCAGAAGTAAAGAAATGAACTTTAAACTGAAGCATTTAACTGTAGGGAGATTTGCCTGTAATTGAGGTTATATTTTAATCCTGGCAAGACAAACTTACTGATCTGAGTGGCTCCGTTAGTCCTGCTGCTGCTCTTCAGAAAGATGGGATAGACCTGATGTCCAGAGGCAGAGTTAGACTGAGCCCCATTACCTTCAGAAGAAGGCTGTGTGGCTGTGCTGTGGGTGGGCGCGGGCTGGGGGTCGTCTGGCACTGGAACAACTTCTACCGGAGTGAGGCAGGGCTTTGGTCCATCAGCTCCTTGCAGAGCCGTAGACGAAGAGACTGGGGAGCTGGTGGGCTGGGGATCATCTGAGGTTAGTCCAAGGCCGAGTTCATGGGTGTCTAAGCAAACAGAGCGAGGGGTCTGAGGTCTCCCTCTGCCCCTGCCTCTTCTCCTCTTCCTACCTCTTGCTGGACGAGCAGCGTTGACCGTAGGAGAAAAACAAGCACCCGTGTCGATCTGACCGGCTGAGATTTGATCTGAGAACTCGCTGGAGATCTGACTGTCGAGGTCAGCGGACGTGTCAGCAGTCTGCGGTTCCACACGAGCTCCTACAGATGGAGATGCAGTCGCCAGCGAGGGGAAATCTGCCTCAGTGTGTTGATCTGAACGTCCATGGTTGTCTATATGCCTGTTCAATGCTCGGCCCCGGCCCCGGCTCCTGCGAGGCCGTCCCGTGCTCAGCTGGGAGAGTATGACGGCCTGCATGTCAGGCTGGCTCTGTGAAGATGTCATACGTCTTGTGGTCCTGACGTAGTACTCTACTGGGAACAGTAGTCCCTCCACTAGAGTGCAGGAGTCGAGGAGACCCACTCCCTTTACATCATGCTCTCCTCCAATAATCTCACTTTTTTCTTCTGTTATTTCAACTGTATTATCGTGACTTTTTTCACTTTCTATCTGCTCTGCTGCACTTTGTTCCGTGTCTTTAATACTGCTGTCTTCACACAGCCTCCCATCCCTCTGTCCTCCACTATTCTCACTTTCCTCTGCTTCCTCTGTCCCTTTTTGTCGTCCATTTTGTGCAATATCGTCCTTCTGTCCCCTGCCTCCAGGGTTTATAGCCGTATCTTCAGTTTGTCCACAAGTGTTCCAGTGTGTAAGCAGCAGAGAAGGAGACTCGGATTCTGTGCCAGAAAAGAGCTCTTCACTTTCATTCACCACCTCCGTTACCTCCGTTTTGACTCTCTCTTCACTTCCTTCTCCACTAGCAGTCTCCACCCTTTCACTCTGCTCCTGTCCTTCCTCGCTGTTGTCTGTGCTCCTGCCGGCCTCAGCGCTCCTCTTCTCCCAGCGTAGGCGGCTGCTTCGAGACCTGAGGCGCAGGGCAGGACTGGGTCTGTGTCCTCTGGTCGCGTCATGGCTGGAATCTGGGGTTTGTGGGCAAGCAGCATCAGAGGGGAGCAGGAACCTGATTACCTGGCTCCGCCTGGAGTTCTCAGAATCTGCTGGACCTGATAAAACATAAAACAATATATTATAACTATTATATATAATAGTTATTATATGCAAAACATTGTCTACTTCTCAGAGTAATGACAGTATAATCTGTTTTGGGATATGTATAATATGCATATGTACACATTTACATCCAATAACATAATACTGATAAAATTAGGCACCATGACAGAAACTATTCTACCCTCCTCCCTTCAAGCTTATCTTCCAATATCTTTCTCCCCTCTTTGCACAACCTAGATATTCCCCAGCAGTTCACAAACACACTAACAAAAGCAATAACTTTAGAGTAATCACTATGCACTCATTAGGAAGCACACTGAATGACAACAGCAGGTAAAAATCCATCTCTGACATACACTGACCAGATTGCAGATGACTCTATTTACACTTCCTATCTAATTGTCACTGCGGTTATGTACTGTGAGAGAGAGGAACTACCTGTACTTTGCAGATGATTAGGACAGACTCACCTCCACTGGGTCCCTGGCACTGAGGCACACCTGAGGCTGAGCCACTGATGGCGTTTAGCGTCAGTGCAGACGGGTTGAGACAGGGGTTCGATGTGATCTCTGGATTCCTCTGGTTCTCGTGGTTCTTCTGTGTAATCCTGCTCCTCACATGTCTCCGCACTGCTTCTGACCGCTCAGCACGCTGTGAGAAGATCAACGTGTGTGTGTGTGTGTGAGAGACAGATCTGTTCTTCACTGGGCGTATAGAAGTGAAAGAGTGACTCTTACCTGTAGTCTCTGGGCTGTCCTGAGGTACTCCCTTTGTAAGAGTGCCAACTTCCTGCGAAGCTGGGTGGATAAAATGTTAATATATATCAGCAAGCAGTCAGAAGACATAGAATTAAAGGTTCGTGTTAGGGCTGCACAACGAAGAGCAATATGCAAATCCCACAAGATGAAGAAATGTGTGGATAAAAACAGCATTACAATGAAGTACTGTAGTTCAGAAGAGATGACAGCATGTTTGTTTGATACAGACGCCTCAAAAATGTCACTTAGTTAGTTATATAAATGTTATTCCCACACTAATCATATCGCAAAGGCAACATCCATCAAAAAATAATGGCAATATAATGTTTGTACCATATCGTGCAGCCTTAGTTCCTACAGCTCTTTAAATAGAGATTAAATAGAAATAGTGTGCAGACAAATGTACAATGTACCTTCTCCTTATCATCACAGTGCAGTGTAGTCCTCAGCTGCTCCTCACAGTGCGGGTTCTCTCCCCCACTGCTCTCCATCCTGCTCACTGAGCCCCAACACACACAGGACAACACACAGGACAACACACACAGGCTGCAGACACTAACATGTAGGTAATGTTAGTTGAGTTGAACGTCAGCTCAGCACAGCTTTAAAACGAACGGTATAGTTGGTAAACATCCTTTCGTTGTGTTCTTAGCTGGAAGTTTTCCCACAGCTGTTGTTAATGTCTGCGTGTGTGTGTGTGTGTGTGTGTGTGTGTGTGTGTGTCCATGTAAAGGTTATTTTGATGTTCGATGAGGCGACGATCGATTTACTTTCAATTTCCCGCGACTGCCTCAAACAGGCCTGAGCAGTGGAAGTCCGATAAGTCGATCGGACGGATGAATAATGGGATATTTTTTGAAAGTTTATTTTCATATTCACCACAAAATACTTCCATTTGTTATGTTATATTTATTTATTTTACACGGTTTTATGTAGAAATATACGGAAGCCCTAAAGGCATTCATACATTTTATTTCATTTATTTACATTTTATAAAGGCATTAAGAACGGTAAGCTATAATTCAAACCTACATTTAAAATAAAATATGTTACATTAAAGTGTTTCATGCGACCATGATGAATAAAAAACATACTTAATATACATGACTTAATATCAAGTATCTTTACTGCACCAGTGTGGAGAAATTGTCAAAAAAAAGTTCCATATTTGTACCTCAAAGTGTCATCTTTTCTTATATTTGAGTGGTATACAGTAAAAACACTTTGCTCATAATAATTCCTGGACTATGGATGGTATATTTGACTTCTACACATATAAGACTACAAGCATACTTAATATCAAGCATTTTTTCTGGAATTTTATTGTTGAATTTCTCCACATTGGTGCAGTAAAAATGCTTGATATTAAGTATGTTTTTTTATTCATCATGGTCGCATGAAACACTTTAATACAACATATTTTATTTTAAATGTAGGTTTGAATTATAGCTTACTGTTCTTAATACCTTTATTTTGAAAACCGGAAGTGAATACGCTGTTTCTCCGCATTTACCCATAATGCTGAGAAATATATAATAGTTTAATATTTTCCCCTCGTTACCCACAAAAAAAATAACATTTACCTTATATTTATAGCAACAATTTTACAAAGGTCATCTATGGCCACCTTGAACATATCATAAATAGGTCGACATTAAAAAGTAATTCAGCTAAAGCCATTTTTTTTAGGCAAGGCAAAAACAAGTAAAATATCAACTCTTTTTAATCACTAGTTTCAAGTGAAACTCTGGAAGTCTTACATAGATGAGAGATTATTTTATTTATATCTGTTGTATTTGTTTTTTGGGGGATAGGAGACCCGAGGCATTTCTCCCCATAATTGTTCACAATTAGCTGAGTAAAATATTTACATTTCACATATGAAAAAAACCCACTAATCTAACTTTGCTCATGGATGCTCACATGGATAAAGAACTGTGAAAAGTCTGTTTTTTACAGAAACCTCTTAAAATCGTATGCAGATGTGGTTTCAGTAAAACCAGATGTTTATCGTAGAGGTGTCTGACATATTTGCAGGTGTACAGTTTTTACTAGTCCCTGTTACAAATGCTATTAATCAAATATATTGGCAATTTTCTTTATTTGTTTAAATCAAACACTTGTTTGTCTGAATTCCCATATGATATCACAACAATGCAGATTGGGTATTTCTAAATAGGCAGTCAATGGCATAGCTTTGATGAAATGTGGTTGTAATATGTCACTTGATAGAAACACACTGCCTGGAAAGAGTCTTTTCTAAACAGTAGAGAAGGATAAGTAAATTATATGTATATAGCTAAGACTTAACCATAATCATGAATAATGCGTATGCAACCACATTTGCACTAACACAACTCCTGGATGGTATAAATAAAATTTTTTAATGCCAAAATAGTTCCAATACATTGATAGAATTGGAAAAATATGTACATAAATGCAAATACATCCAAATACACAGGCTGCAAATCAACAAGGTGTAGGACTATTTTTCTAAACCAATTAGAGTTTAAAACAATGTGAAGTTTTGTGGGACTGATTGAGATAAAATAATAAAATGAGGTGAACCCTACTCATTTGGCACTCTGGGTAGGCTAAGGAATGTTTAAATCTGTAGTGTTTCAACTCAACTGGACTCAACAGGTATCGTATCTGTACATTCATAAAGCTACAACACTTATACAGAGAAGAGAAAATATATACTGTTCATATATGTTCATATTCATTACAAGGATTGCAGGAAATATGGCAGGCCACAAAAGATAAACTCTTTGAAGCTGTCAACTTATGTATGTATTTGTTTCTGCCTCTGACACAGATGCATAATGTTTGTATTATTCACATTTGTGCTTAAGATATAAGTTTCTAGTTTGGTGAAACCGTCCTGCTCCTCAGACATCCACAAGTGAGATACTTCAGGGCAGTCACGCAGACGTGCATTACAGAACCCATGGTAAAGAGCATGTGGTAGAAGGCATGGACTGACAGGTCTCCAGTTTCATCAGCGTATTTCAGAGCTACGATGGGCGAGTACCAGGGGTTGGTCAGATTACGGAAACGAGGCCTGCTTGCTTCGATCACTTTCTTGGTGCACTGCAGAGAGTGACAGAAAAGATAGAAGATTTGCAATCAGGCTTACAGGATTAATCACTGATGCAGATGGACAGATGTTCGTGAACTTACTCTGGCGATGTCATCGGGCGTTTGTCCCAGGAGCTGGAAGATGTCAACAGAGGAAGGAAGATAGACGTTCTTGAAGTAATTCACCGTCTCAGGATCGGCCCCGGGATACTCCTTTTCCTTCACATCCTGAATCATCTTTGCCTCAAATTCTGTGTGAACTGGGCCCGGCTCAATCAGCGACATTCTGAAGAGAGACAAACAGCAAAAAAAAAGAAAAAGGGGGCATAAGACGACTTGAATCAACCCAAACAGAGCATGGTTTAGATGGAGGGAAGAGTTCAGTGGAATTCACCTAATTTGGCCTAAAAATTTTTTAAAAATAAAATTATTATATTTTAGAAGCAATTGCAATAAATTTTGACACAAAGGTTTTAAGGATTATATCAGTGTTGACCTGCCAGACTGCTTTGAAAGTAGGAAGACATCATATTTTTTTAGGTTTTCTGCTTTACTATTATCTTTTGTGCCTCCTGGAGTTATTACTTTGAAGAAAAATTACCAACAAATTACCTACAATAACTTACATTAGCATAGTAAATTTTCCAGATTGCAAAGATTTTCTACTTTTTAAATAAAAAAAATTTGAAGGAATACAGCTACAATAATTTTCATCCCAGGGCTAACGTTTTCATCTAGGCTATATACAATATAATCACATATTCACGATACAGAGATTTAATATGTTGTGCTATATTGTGATATTGTAAGCGTAGGGCGATATAATCGTTGATTTAAAAAGGACATAAATATACATTGGAGGAAAACTGTCCATGAGGTATCAAAGAACACATACCATATGCATAAAATCTGAGTTAAAAAAAGTTTTTATGCAACCAGAACAGTGAGATCTGCATTTGTATTTATCAAAGTCGCTGTAACATTCAACATCATATCCCTCAGTTAACACTGATATCTAGTGTTCTGGGGTTCAACCACAAAAATCAATAATGTTTTTCATAATCAATACAATATCATAACATAAAATATAGCAATACGATATTTTTCAATATTTTTTTTACAACCCTACTTTCATAGGGCCAAAATTTTTATTTGTCCAATACTGAGTTATGCTTCAATACTTATGAGAACATACACTGTTTAGTGCAAATTAGCAACTGTTAGCATGCTGGCTCGCTAAACTTATATAGTAAACATTCTTCCTAATGTGCATCAACATGTTAGCATGCTGACATTAGCATTTAGTTCAGATATGGGCTAAGTACAGGCCAAACATGGCTGTAGACTCTTATTCAGTCAAAACCCACACAATTAATCAGAACATAATCAATGTATTCATCAATAATGACACTAATCATCGTTTGCAGCCTGTCAGACTATTTGTATCCATGTTATTGGTTTGTTAATAATGATGGATGCAGTATCTGTGACACTCACGTGACATTAAACTTAAAGAGCTGCACAGCCAAGCTCTCACAGAATCCCTCCATAGCAAACTTGGACGCTGCGTACACGTCATTAAACACCACACCTACAGAAACACAGTAAATGTTAACATTTCATTTTCAGACATGAACAGTTCAATAGATCACCTCTTCGTGTTTGTTGTTTTGTGGAAACATCCCTGCTTGTAAAGACATAAAATAGTACTTAAACAGTCTCCCTGCAGTTCTCCACTCACTCTTCCATTCATCCATCATCAACCCACTCATACATCAGACTGAAGCTCACAGACCTGTCAGTTCTCACTGTACCATTTAACGCCCCGCCCCGCCCCGCCTCCGCTCCCTTTGCTCATTCAGTCACACGTCTGTCTGCTCACCTTGCAGTCCCATCACGCTGCTGACCACGATGATGTGTCCTCCTTTCCTTCTCTTCATATCAGGCATCACCTCCTTGATCATGCGGATCACCCCAAAGAAATTGGTCTCAAACACTTTCTTCATCTCTTCGATGGGGATGCTCTCCAGTGGACCCACAAGGCCAATGCCTGCATTGTTTACTGGTCGGTAGGAGAAGGGGAAGAAAGCAAAGAAGGAAGACATTGAGTAATCGTTGGAGTTTGGGACAGTGTAGCAATGCATGGTTCAGTATTGAGGATGCATACTCACTGAGGACATCCACGTGTCGGTCTTTGATGCCGTCGATGCACTGTTTGACGGACTCATCGTTGCAGACGTCCAGCACAGCCAGAGAAAGAGTTTTCCCATACGCATCCCCGGCAGCTTCCACCAGCTTATCTTTACGTTTCAGATCACGCATCGTTGCTATGACTGTGAACGGGTGGAAAAGAAGAAAAAACAGACAAAACTGAAGAGTGTGTGTGGAAGAGATTATTGAATGTGTTTATTTTATTGTCTTCATTTTTGTTGTGATTTACTTTCTTGACATGTTTTATATCTGTAAAGACAAACTGATGTGAATTTAAATAAAGGAAAACAATTCCATGGACTAATAATAGATGTAAATGAAGTTGGATAAAGCTTTATAGAGAGCCAAAGTCTGTTCCAACAGTATCTGTAACTCACTTGTTTCCTCATATTTGAAGACCTCTTTATATAAACCAGGATACAATTAATTTAGACAAATTTAAAAACATATTCCCTGACAAACTGTTGTTTTTATCTTTGATTTAGGATGCTGAGGTGTTTGTATTTTACTCTCCAGGGCAGTAGTTAATAGAGACCAAGGTATTTAGCTTAAGATATATGAACAGTTCTGACAAAATATGTTTTCACTCTTTATACAGTACTTTAAACCAGTCAATGTCATCGGTCTGTTGGTCAGTCATTTGGCTTGTCCACCACACGCTAGTCCAGACTAAAATATCTCCTCAACTATTGGATGGACTGCCATGAAGATTTGTATTGACATTCATGGTCTCCAGAGGATGAAGCCTACTGACTTTGATGATTCTTTGACTTTATCTCTTAGCCCACCCATTTTATGGTGGTTTTAAATAATATCACAGTAACTATGGGATGGATTGGAAAATATTTCGAAAAGACACTCACACACACATTCCCCACAGGATTAAATGTAATAACTTTGTTGATTCCCTGACTTTTCATCTAGTGCCAACTTCTGGTTTTTCCACTTGCAACTTCAATGAAAAGAGAAGCACCTCCACACTGACTTCAAACCGCAAACGTATTCAAACCCATTTCGATCTTCGTCATGCAATTTAGCCCTGTATGCAGGTATTCTTTTTTTTTTAGCCCTGCATATAATTACGCTCCTTTCAGTTCCATGGGCAGCTTCCAATTATGAGTTTGTGAATGGATGTGATATTCCCATCCTACCTGCAACACAAGCCCTACGCCTTCAGGCTGCTGCTGTAAATAGGCATGTGATTAGGCAACCTGCCCAGGTAAATGAGGTAACAAAAAGACAATAATACTACCTGCAGAGTCAAACCGAGTTTATTGGCTCAGACTGCATGTAGACTCACACAAGATTAACACATAAAAACATGCTGAGTAGACTCCAGTCTTGATATGTGTGTAATACATTTTATGTTTTTAATTACTTGTCATGTACATAATGTTCTTTTGAATTCTTTTGAATACATGTTTGTGTGCATTTATGTATATTTCTAGTTTTTAGGAGAGAATTTCCATCCTGACTGACCTTGTCTTTGTGTACATTTCCTGTCATAGTAAGTGAACAGAAACAAAGGAGTAAAGGTCATGAAGAACTGGGAGGGTGCCGACACAAAAACTGTTGTCAAAGAGACATGGGATAATAAGTGAGAATGGAGGGTAAAGTACAAACACACAAAGGAAACTGTGTTCACATCCCTTTCCTGACTCAACCTGTGGGCTGTTTTTTTCCATGAATTTACTTTCTGAATAACTGGCTGCTGCGATAACGGTAAAGACGGTGCTACAGATAGTTATAGTAGTAGAGATAACCATAAGTAGCCCTAATATAGACACTGTTCTCATAAACAGCCCTGTTACAACAGTCAGTTTACATATCAGCATTAGCGTCTTGCCTCAGAGCTCACGTCACCTGCCTATTCCAGGAATAGCCCTCACAGTCCACAATGGAGCTCAGCGAGCAATAATTAGCCTAAGCAAGGCTGTAGTGAAGCTTCAGTTATGGTCTGGTGTTACATGTAAGAGTGACCTAAGGTTAAGTTGGGATCAGAGACATGAGGCTGGGTGAGCTGGGAGATTGCCCTTAATCTAGAAAATTGAATTTAATGTTTTAGCCTCTTAGATTAAAAATGATCTGTACTTTAAATGTCTTCTGGCCATTCTGCAGACATTGTTTCACATTCATTTCCATATGTGAAATTTGCTTAAGTCTTTCAAGTTTGCATGCAGTTTTGTCCATTTTCATTATCATCGCTTGGTAATGGAATATTAAATTAATTAAATTAAAATATCTCAATATGAAAACAATTAAATCCATATTCATTTGATAGGGGTCCTGCCTCTTGTTACTTTACTTCATGTTAAGTGTTATTATGCTCCTTTGACTTCATTTCTCTGTGGTAAAACTTGGCAAACTGTATTTCACTGTTGACTCTATTTTGTTAGGCTCCTTCCTGCCTTCCTGGCACCGGTCTTTTTTTATAAATTGTCCAAGCATTATACAATTTAGATATTTTTGTACGAATGTCAAAACCCTATTAACTGATTGCAGTAGTCTACAACACTTGTAACTCAATTACCATCTAGGCTAATTCCCATGCAGTCTCACTTTATAGCTGAGAGAAGAGATGCGACAGTCAGATTATCTTTAGTTCATACTGTGGCTGCGCTGAAATGACTAAAAATGTATGGCATGATGATTTATGTAGCATGTTATCCTTTGAAAATGACACATATTGAAAGTAACTGTATCTTAACTGGATGTTCAGTAGGGCTGCAACTGATTGTTTTCATTATCTGTTGATCATTGTCTCAATTTATTGATCAGTTGTTTGGTCCATTAAGTGTCAGACGATTGTAAAAAGTGTTGATTTCAGTTTCCCAAAGCTCAAGGTGATAAATTGATTATCAAAACAGCTGGCAGTTAGTTTAATAGTTGACTCATCACTTATAATCACTTATTTGACTAATTGCTGCTGCTCTAATGTCCAAGTTCAACCGTATGTGGCCTGTAATATGAGGTTTTGAAGTTTATTTAATTTTTTCGCATCTGGACCACAAAAAGTTCTGCCTCTAAAGAATCTGAAGAAAGTTAACTGTGACCTCTGACCTCCCCTGTATGGAGAGGAAATACTGAAGGCTGTGGAGTTTCCTCTGCAGGGTTCAGCAGAGAGGACAACCTTGAGTTTGTCGTCTATTAATTTAATCCAGCTCATTCTCTTGGACCAGGCAGCTGTGTTACTGATTCTCAGTTGTTACGTCTAAATTGGATCCTCATTTACTCTCATGTGGTTCAGATTTTATTTTTTATTGTTTTTATTTAAACCAAAGCAAACAGCAGCCAGCTTTAGGTAGAAATCACTCATCTGTTGTGCATTGAGATGCACAGAAACAGAGACATCGGCTTTAATCTACATAATCATGTGGATTGTGTAATACTCTTATGTGCACTCTGTCATGATGTAGGCCTAAGCATCTTATGTGTAAACAGTGCAGGAGAAGTAGAGGGGTGGTAGTGACATTTACGAAGGATTTAACTAATAATGTAAAATGTACCATGCAAATAAAGTTATTTCTATTAGTAGCTGTTGTATTGTTTTATTAAACAATGTATTTGTTTGTTATAAAACTTTTTTCCTTGTCTATGTACTCTGGCAGCAACATAAATGTAGCCTGTTACATGTTATGCCTAGAAAAATATATAAATAAATTGCAATTAAATATATAATATAATATAATATAATATAATATAATACAATCTCTCTCTTTTTCTCCACACACACACATCCACAGTGCACCTACCGTGATAGCGCTTCTGTTCATCTTGGGCCAGCATCACGGCCATCCTCAGGCCGATACCGGAGGAGCAGCCGGTGATCAGCACCACTTTCTGCCCGGGACTCGCCATGGTGCCCCCGCTGTCTCTCCGCTCTGACACCAGCACACAAGCAGCTCTGCAGGATGAGCGCTGATTTTGAGGTGAGAGCCACTATAAGAGGATAAGAGACACACACACACAGAGAGAGAGAGAGAGTCACATGGACAGACTGAGATTATCTAACCCGGGCCCGGTCGGTGCTGTGGTTGTCATTTACAACTTCATTATTTTATTAAATCCATGACGGGAAAATATATTAAACTTGATAAAACTTATGTCCTGACTGCCAGTGACATTTAGTTTCTGAGCCACAGTGTACCTGACAGTGTGAAGAACAAACTGATAAAGGACCAAGTTCAGCTTCTGCTCAGTAAAGAAATCTAGCGCCGCCCAGTGGTCAATATGAATATTATTCAAACACCCTAACTATGAATGGAGTCGCATCTGTTACTCAAAACCAACAGAAATCTGGCTGCGTTATACATGATGATGCTTGTGGATGTTTTTTTTTTTAATTTAAAATTGGTTTAAGGTCTGCACCCTCTATCTGGTGAGGCTCTTGGTTCACACATGTTAAGTATGTGTAAGTAGAAGCTGCTTGCCTCACCTCTCCAGTGTGTCTAAAAGTAAAACAGCAGTTACTGTGTATGTCTGCATACAGTTGGTTGAAAATGAAACAATATGGTTCACACCCCAATTAGATGATGATGCTTGTGGATGTTTTTTTAAATTTAATTTAATTTAATTTGAATAATTATTACACTAATATCAAAGGGACACACATTACACACACACATAAAGGAAGAGACTAACAATACCACCAGCCTGTTGTAACATCAAATCAATCAAATATAGGTTAATATACATACATATAAACAAACACACCCATGCCAATATGTACATACATATAGATATACTCACAATTTCACACATAATTATTTGTTCTTTATTCATTATTCGACCAACAATTTACATATTTAATAGACCTTTTAATAGACTTAATTTTTACAGTACACCTCACAGAAAGATATCTGTGAGGTTCAGAAAAAGTTATAATTATAACCAGTAGAATATGAGAATACTAAAAACTCTCTCTCTCTCTCTCTCTCTCTCTCTCTCTCTCTTCTCACACACACACACACACACTTGAAGTGAAGCGCAGCTGCCAGTCATAAGTCTAAGACAACCTACTCGAAGCGGGAGGTAGGGCATTTGAAAATATGCCTGGAATCTTTTTTCTTCTTCAAAAGGCAAAGCCAGTATGTATATGTGTCTGCCTGGGTGCAATTTACTTGTGTTACCAAAACACCACTGTTTCCTAAACAGAACCTCTAATGATTATTGCACGGTACATTAACAGTAGCTTCATTTTGAGACATATAATCTACATTTAACCAGCTGAAAATGTGCCAAAAGTCTCCATAATGCTAGACAGTTTCTCTCCAGTATATTCACAAAAATACAGACTAAAAGCACCAAATGGCACCAGGACGAACAGTTTTTCCTTCATAAGACTCACATGAAACTACACTGTTAAAAACCTACACTTTGAATCTAATCCTCTCCTTTATGTGCACATTATCAGGTATCAGTAGGCTATAGGAAAATGTATTAAAACAACAGTTTATTGACAGTGCTGTTTTTGGCACTTTTCTTTGTCATTCAGACATTCCTTTATAGTTGTATTAAATGTATTTCCCTTATTTTGTTAAGATCGCAATTTATTTTTATTTGCTCTTATATCTAAGTATCTAATATATAAGTGCGATTTGATGCATTTTAATGTATACAATAGGCTATATACTACTGTACTAAATAAACACATTTGGATTTGATTTTACAATTATGTATACTGCTGCTCTCCTTTTAGGTCTGGTATGCTATACAAATGTCTTCTTAGACAATAAAGACTAATGTAAATGGAAGCTGAAGCAGGACAGGAGAGACCTGGGGGCTCATATAGGTATTCAAGTGCATGTATGCATGTGTGTGCATGCACTGAGCTCTGATCCTGTCAGCCTTTTTCACCCTATAAACTTCTCCTAAAAAAGGTTGCTGATGCCTCCCAGTGACCTGCAGGGTTCTTTAGACGTTCCCACATTAGAGATAAAGAATGATAAACCACTGAAGTAGAAGGCAGGAAGCACATTTTGGTGTTTATTGTGCCTATTGGAGTAATATGGTGTATCTGTGTGTTTGTGTGTGTTTGTGTGTGCCTGTGTGGTGTGTTTGAAGAGTGTGTGGGGTGGGCAAAGACAGACAGGCACTGGAATTTGGAATCTGCAGCAGCATATTTTATTAGTTGGGCAGCACCGTTGTCCTGTTCTAGCATGCTTTGTGTGTGCGTGTGTGAGTGTGTGTGTGTACGGTGTGTGCGTGGAGTGTGTTGTGTACGGTGTGTGCGGTGTGTGTGTGTGTGTAGAGTGAGAGAGAGCAGAAAATGAAATGAGGCACAAGTTTGAGAGAAACTTTGGTGGCATGTTTATATTTCAAACACTGAAACTTACTATGTGCTCGTGCATATGTGCGTGACAACCCTATGATGTGCGCGTGTGCCAAAATGTGCGCACGAGAGAGACAGATAGATAGATAGATAGATAGATAGATAGATAGATAGATAGATAGAGAGACAGATAGAGACAGATAGAGACACCACATAGCCCCTTAAATCACTCAGACAATAATGATGCTAATAATGACACGCGCAGTAATTATGTTCCTGTACAGCCCCCACGAGCCTCGGTGAGGGAGGGTTCACCCCGGAGGAGAGAGAGGGAAAGAGAGAGGGAGGGAGAGTGAGACAGGGAGGAGGTGAGGGGGAGGAGGGAAGAGAAAGTGAGGAAAGTTGTCAGCGGGTGAAGGAGGAAAGACCTTCCGAGATTGAGGGATTTTTTTTTCTCCCTTCTTCATCCGTCCATCCAGGAGGAAAAGCAGCAGTAAAGGCGGGAACACGTGGGCTGCTGGTTATCACTGATCATCAGTCAGATAGGCCTGTATGCGCGCGCTCGCTCTTGATTGCCAGCTTGGTGGAGCGCGTGGCGTTGTGACGCACGGGCGCGAGGCAGCGGCACCCACGCAGTCAAAGCTCTGACTGCAGGTGTACTGCGGAGGAGCGCGAGGAGGAGCCGCGAGGGAGTTTAACTGGCCCGCTGGATCGATAGCTTCAGATGCAATATGGTGGATCGATGGAGCTCAGTGCGCGAGACACGGTTGCTGTTGCTGCTCATCACGGTGTTTGGCACCTCGAGGGCAGGTAGGTAGAAATGTCCAGGGCTGTTTATTGGTTTATCTTTGTGCAAATGATTGTCTCAACTCAACTCATTTGATTCTATTTTAACTGCTGTAAAAAGTTAGTCAATGCTTCCTCTCCTCCTCTCCTCTTCCTCTCCTCCGCTCCTCTTCCTCTCCTCCTCTGACTGTGTCACATCAGTTGTCACCACCTGCTTTCAGGCCCTCGTGAGCCAAGTTTAAGTTTAGTTCATGTCACCCTGAACTTCTCCCAAACACACTCACTGTCTGCCATTTGTGCACCTAGACAGTTTTTTTGGTCTGTTGATGTGAACTTTTTTATGGTCAATTAGTAAACCCCCCAACCCTGCCACACACACACACACACACACACACACACATAAATGTCTCATAGTGATTTTCTACCTAACTTCCAGAAAAAAATCCCCTTTGGTCTCCACTTTGACGGATGATTTTGTCATGCCAGGTCATGCAGGCCTAAAGCTTATTGAACTGAACTACCTTGTTCTGGTCTCTTGGAGCCCACTGCACATTTGCTAGACAGTCGAAAGGCATAGGCCTATAAGTCTAGACTTGTTCTGCCATACCTGCTGCATCAGTCTCTGCTCTCATACAGCAGCATGCAGGATATTTAACCTGTACAGCTGGGTAATGGAGAACAGACTGAGGCAAATTAAAGTGTGCTGTGCCTGAACTGTGCTGGGAATGCTTGGTTACATACAGCAGCCCCTGGAGCTGCACTGGAACCAGGTGAGGGGGGTCAGTTACAGCCTGGTGTCATTGATGTTTTTATCAGCATAAATGCAAGTGTGTTTGAGTAGGTTGAAGAGGGAATATGCTGTTTTTTATACCATAAAAAAACACTTCAAATCAAAGCAGCAGGCCCTTGTAACATGAGAAACTAAATGCAGCACTTGAACCATGCAGAAATACTTAGAGCGAACCTGCTTTATCCTGTTTAACCTGGACCGTAAGCATCAAGGCAGATGAGATGAGCAAGGTTAGTCTTTAATATTCAATTGACAAATACACTTATTTGTTTCGCCCCCCAAAATCACACTTACTGGGCTTTAAAGTTCTGGAGCCTTCACTCGTAATCACATGATCTTCAGTCACAGTTGCAAGTTGTCATCGAATTGTAGATGTTTTGACTTCATTTTTTTCCTTTTTTTGCACTTTTAAGGAGTTCTCGTTCATGTTCCCTTGAATGAATAGTTTAGGAGAAAAAACGCTTAATCGCTTTCTTTGCCGAAAGTTAGAGGAGAAGATCGACGCCACTCTCGTCGAGCCAGCAGCCAGTTAACTTAGCTCAGCACAAGGAGTGGAACTGGGGAAACAGCTAGCCTGGTTTACTCTAAACCTCTCTAATTAACATGCTCTATCTTGTTTGTTTAATCTCGACACGTTGTGGTGTCGTGGCCAGGTGCAGTGACATCCTGGAGTCTAGTTGTCGCAGTGAACCTCGCTAGGCAACTACCGAAGACTTAACTCTCGGCAAGAAAGTCCCAAAATGTCAAACTATCCCAGTAAAAGTTCAGAGTTCATTCTCGACCTTGGAAACGAGGTTCAACAACTCAAGACGAGATCTGCTGATGAAGATCATGTGATGTGATCAAAAGTTCCAGAAAAAGCTATTAAATGGACCTTGAGGTGAGGTTGTTTAATCAGTCACACATGATTTCGTCATTGTCTTTACAGGCCCAACAACATCAACAGTTCTCAACCCGTTCTGAGCACTCAAGGCTGAACCACACATCCCACACATCCTTCATCTTAACTTCATTACATCCGTTGTTTTTCTCGTTTAATGACTCTTTTATTTGCGAGTCAACATCCACCGCCTTCATGCAGGACTGCATCAGCAATTCACTGCGAAAGAGTCGGCGGGCAGGTGACTTGGCAGAGAC